TATATATATATATTCATTACTTTTAATCTTAATCGTTTCTTAAGAAAACAAAAATATGTAATTCAATCAAGAACTGGGTCTATAAGAATGAATAAGATGGATATCAATTGAATAAGAAGATTAATCTCAATTTTTGGAAGTCCAGGATACAAGAATCTTAAAAGAATTGCATTTTCAGAAAGGTTTTAAAAAATTATGTTTTTAACTAAACTAGAACTTGGAAGGGTGTTCTTATTCTTCGTACTGAACTTTAAATGATACTGATATTTGAATGCCTTTCTTTCATGACCATTTTTTCATGTTTTTACAACTGTGTATTTCTATACCTAAAAGAATAAATCCACGAATTTTGGAATACGCAAATAACTATTATTCCTTATGGCGCCTTTATAATTTAATTTTTTTTCAGAGTTCTAGCAAAGCCTTTCGTTTTTATTGTCAGAAAAAGTCTACCAAATAAAGAGTTTTTTTTCTCCAATTTACAAAATCGTTTTTTATCCATTAAATTCAAATAGATCTGTATTTAAATAGATCTGCATATTTGAAAAGGTTTAAAAAAATTGTGTTTTAATCCGAATTACAACATGGAAGCGTGTTCTTACTCTCCATACTGAACTTTAACTGATGCTGATATTTAAGTGCCTTTTTGTCATGACCATTTTCCATGTTGTTTTTTTTTTAACTTAACAACAATACATGTCAAAAGCCAAAAGGAATGCGCGAAATTCAAAAAAGAACACGTGAAATTCAAAATTTATAAAATGAAGAGGAAAAAATAGAAGAGTACACCTTCTAAATGACTTTTGATCTGATGATCGGATTTTTATGTACTAGAACTCAATCTTGATGGTTCGAGAAGCCCTAATATTATATAAGCTTATTAATTAGAGAAGATGATATTTTAATTATAAAGCTTATTTAAGCACAAAAGTTTATTTTATCTGAATAAACATACCTTTTTTTCGATAAATTAGGATTCTTGGTTCTCGAAATATCTGGGAGAATCAGAATCTGGGAAATAATATAATAATGTCCCAATAGTATAGACAATCAATCGGTCGAAAGTTTGCTTAGTGTTAATTTTACTTTTTGTGTATTTCTTTTTGACATAAGAAACTTTTTAAACGAATCGAAAACTTTAAGCACACAATAACAAAAATTATTTATCCAAAGAAAATTATCGATGCAAAAAATAATTTTAAAAAATTATTTATGATTTTTTATTATTTTATTTTATAAGGATAATTATTTCCCTTAATTAATATTCAAAAGTTTTTGAAACTTAAGATAAACAAATTTTTACATCATTTTACGAGTATGTAATTGTAAATTACAAAACGAAAAATTCGAACAAAATCTATCAACGTGAAATCAAATTTTAAATACAAACCTTAATATTTGATAACTATTTAAATGATACAACAGAGCGAAAAATGCATGTATTTTTAAAAATATTATAGAAATGTGATTCTCAGTTAAAGCACTACATTAATTTTAAGAATTCTTAGCTCTTTTTAACATCTGTGCAAGTTATAATTATTTTAATGTTTGTTGTTTAACTTTTTTCTTCAAAATCAAAGTAAATGTAGAATATTGATTTGTAAAATACTTATTTTTCTTACAGATAAACTGAAAATGCCTTCAGGGAAATACGACAAGCCTGTAATCATCGACAACCATGATGGAACCGTAACTTTTAAATATGATCCCCGTGAAATTGGAAGCCACGAATTGTATATCAAGCACAATCTCGAACCTGTACAAGGCAAGTTCTACAGTTAATTTCTAATTTAACTTATTAGTGTTCAAATCATTTTAATTTTAATATTTAATTTTAAAATTTAATTCATAAAGTGTTTAGTGATACCATTGTACTTTTCCATCTTACTTTGTTTTTGCACGATATCTTAAATAATTGCAAAAACTCGTGTGCGATCTGAGTTGCATAAGAAAAATGTTAAATATCTGGTGAGGTTGCAAAAAAATTGGTACTTTTCAATTAGCCGAACGCAAGCAAAAGTCACCAATAAATGTATTCCTCCACGAACTCTTTTTTTAACTCTAAACCAAAGGGATGTTCACAAAAAAATTGAATAATTTTTTTTCAAAAAAGTAGCTGAATTTCTTTGCCATCTGCAAACCGAAAAGTACGGAAGAAATGTAATAAATACATACATAACTGTGTTTAAGAACTTGGAGCAACAAGCATTACTTAAGTTGAAATCTAAGCGAAATGACCAAGTTTTGACACTGAAAAAGGAATTTTTCTTCATCGCGTGTAGCTTAACTGACACTACAAAAACTTAGGGCATTTTAATAGGCAAAATGTTCCATATTTATCTGACTTTTCTATTTTCTTGAATAATAAGATGAATATTTTTAATAAAAATTCACTCTATGAAAGAAATCAAAACCATTATCAAGGCTTTTTTCTTATCATGAGAAAAAACAACGCATTTCCTAAATGAAGAAAAATAAAAAGTGTTTAAAAAGCTAATAAAGAGTCATAAAAAATGGTGAAAATACATTTATGAATCACTTTATAATAAAGTTTATCGAAACTCTGCATTCATATTTTTTGTTCGAAATCTGATGAATAAGCTTCCAAATTTTTCACAACTTACAGATTTTAATTATCTAAAGAACGAGTGTGTGATACAAATCATTTTCCGATTTAAAAATAAGCATTATTTGTTTCAAAATAATACTTTAAATTCAAACAATTATTGTTGTGTAAAAAATTGATCACGGTTATACAAAATGCAAAAAGTCTCTGGGCAATTCCACGAAAGTGTCAACTTTTAAGTGAAATTTTTTTTTTATGAATTGCATATTTTAATTTTAAAAATATGTTCAAAAATAGCCAAAGTCTACATATTACTGTNCAAAAAGTCTCTTACATAAATTATGATGGAACAAAAATCGAACTATTGCTATACAAAAATTAGTTATGTGTTATTTTATTTTATTTAAACGTTTACAGAGTGAGATAATTATTTAATAATAATTATTAAAAAAATTTGACTATATTATTGTAAAAAAACTTTGATTCAAAAAATGTCTTAAAGTTCATTTGTTTAAAAATTAAGTATATTACGGTATAAAATTTTATGAAATTGATTCCTTAAATATAAAACGTTCGGAATTGTTTTCTATTGTTCAATTGTGAAAAATTGCTTTGGGATAAAATTTGGTACCCTCAAACACTTTTTGAGTACAAAGTTGCTTCGCTTAAAAATGTTTGAAACTATTCTAACAGACATGAAAAAAGTAATATATAATTTCTATAAACTTAACTTTACAAAAAAATCTTGCACCTTCTAAATTTTTTTTTTGGGGGGGGGGGAATAAGGGAATAATACTTTTGCATGTAATGACACCCGGAATCAAATCAGTCAATATGTATAATGGTTTATTTCATCCACGTTATAGGTAGCCCATTCAAATTCCACGTAGATAATGTAGCAAATGGAACTCTCACTGCATATGGAGATGGTTTAGTTCAAGGGGTGGCTGGTGAACCATGCAACATCACTGTATCCAATAACAAAAGCAACGCAATTGGTAAATATAACTTCTTCCTGTTACTTCAATGTGTCCAGTGAACTGTTTACATAAAGTGTTTATAGCGTGGGTTTGTTTGTGCATACAATTCAAAATGAAAGAATTGAACTAAAATACTACAGAAAAATAAATTTTTAGGATAAAACAACTTTCTTAAAACACAATTTCAAAACTTGTTTAAAAAAAAAATTTAAAAATACAAGGCATATAAAATACGATGCTTTTAAAATTTTTATTTTATTCATTTTTGACTTTAAATATATTTTATAGCAATTTAGAATTAATTTAATCTATATGCATTAACGAATTTTTAATTTTTAGTATTTAGTTATATAAATGTGGTGCAAGAATAACACTTAAAATAAAAATAAGAAAAGCATTTAAAGATTAGAAAACTATAGTATTCTATACTTTTTGTTTAAATTTTCATTTGATTCGTCCTAATATAAAACGAGTTTACTATTATTTGCTCTTTTAAATGAAGATATATCGCTGTTGCATTATCAATAATCTATTACAGTGATAATTTTAATCTATATACAAAATCCTGTTACATTAGAAATTTAGTTAAATTAGAATCAAATATGATATATTATTACAACGCTTTCTCAGAAGTAACATTTCTCTAGTTACATTTTTTTTTAGTCTTTATTTATAAAAGTTATATTACTTTTAACTGTTTTTCATATTTTTTGATAAAATTTTAAAATTATTGTTCAGTTAAACTTTGAATCACAGTTCAGATAGCAGAACATTTAAGTTATTAATTTTGGCAATATATTTTATTGCCGGAATAAATAATAATAGAACAGCACCAAAATTAAGGTTTGATATCATAAATCATTAGACAGAAAAGTAATACTTTCTACAGGATATTAAGCTAAAAACTTACATTAAAATGATTCTGAAATCACAATTGAAATATTCAATCCATTAAAAGTGAAGTTCCAGTTCCAAACGATATTTTTTTTTATCAGATCTTGATTTATTTATGTCTTCTAGGCAACGTCAATTAATGTATTGTAGTGATCAAGAGAGTTAAAAATAAGTGAACTCTACATCTGAATTTTCTTACAATAATTACCTTAAAAATAACTGTCAAAAACGGTATAAATCAAAAAATATGGCTCTATCCAGAGTTTCAAAGTAATTACGTAACGTAATAATATTAAATTTATTCCATTGATAAACTGATTTTAAAAAATACTTCATTTATGAAATCGTTTGCTCAAATTTTTATATTAAATAATTATTTTCAGAAATTATGTTAAATAATTATATTAAGTAATAGTTTTGGCGAAATAAAAAATGAAATATTATTTCGTATTTGTTGTTCTTTCATATTTGTTACAATACATTAGATTTTTCATTTTCGCTCAAATATTTTGCAATTTATTTAAATTTCAAAAGTTGTAATTAAAAACACTTATAATCATCTAATTAATTGAAACAACAGAGCAATAAGAATGATTTTTTTTTCTTGCGAAACTAGCTTTCTTATTTCTGAGAGTAAAAAATAAAAAAAAATTTCTTTACTTACGAAAAAAACTGTTTTTTTAACAGCTAGGTATAAAAGTATTAAATTGCATAAACGTATTTTAAAAGATTGCAAATAAAAAACTTGAAAGTTTATATTTTCATATAATTGATAGAAAAAATAAATATTTCATTGTTTAACAGTAGTTAATGGGAAAGATTAGGATATTTTAATTTTTTCTGCAAAATATTGGTACTCTTAACCAATAAGGACCATTGATATAGCAGTCTTATTTCTTCCTCTTCACATTTGGCAAGGCAAACCCAGGGTGGACCAAGGCCTCTGATTGAAGATTCCTCTTGAACACCCTACTATTTTACCTCTTTACCCCAATCACTTCAAAGTTTGATGTGGCCTTCCGCTTTTCCGACTGGAGAAAGATTTTGAAATTAAAATGTTCTTTACTAAATTTTTTTCCATCCATTCTAGCAATATGATACTCTCAGTTCATCCTTTAACTTTTAATACTATAAATTTCAATACTTTTAGTGATAACGTGCTCTTTGAAAGGTCTATAAATTTTTGGGTTGAAAAGACATTCTTAATTAAAAGAAGATAATTATTGATATTGAATCCCTTTTTTTAGGTAAAATAAATGTTTCCGTTGAAGGACCATCCAGAGCAGAAGTTACATGCCACGATAACAAAGATGGCACAATGAGTGTTATCTATGTACCACCATCTCCGGGTGAGTACAAAGTGTCCATAAAAGCAGGGGACCAACATGTGAGGGGAAGTCCATTCACGGCGAAAATTACAGGTAACCCTTTGTTCCTTCATTTCATAAATCAAATTAAATAATCAGGGATATGTTATTGATATTTAAGTGCTTCTATTATAATTAGATAGGATATGGGACATTATCCAGAAAATGTGACAGTTTCATTCAAATCAATTTATTATACTTAATTTACTTTTTTTATAAATATTTTTCTTCTTTCGTAATGAACTATTAAAGCCATCCAATGATAGCATATGTAATGAAGGTAGTCGGCCGAGCAGGAAAACAGGCACAGGATTTCAAAAATGAGCAATTTAATTTTGTTTAATCATTTTCAGATGAATNCAAATCAATTTATTATACTTAATTTACTTTTTTTTTAAATATTTTTTTTCTTTCTTAATGAATTATTAAAGCCATCCAATGATAGCATATGTAATGAAGATAGTCGGCCGAGCAGGAAAATAGGCACAGGATTTCAAAAATGAGCAATTTAATTTTGTTTAATCATTTTCAGATGAATGACCAGAGAGAGAAAGCCACGATTTCAACGTGCTTCAGCCAATATGTTAGGGAAAATTTTGTAAAGAAAATCCGTAAAATGTCTCAATTTAGGGAAAGAGGGAAATCTTAGTGATTACAATTAGTTTATGAAATAGGTCGCGTGATTCCCACAAAAGAGTAAGTCTTACTATTAATTAATGCATGCTTGAACCAAAAATAGATTTAAGGACAGGATGTGAATTTAAAAAAGTGAGAAAGTGTTCCGATTAGAATAATAAAAGAAAAGAAAGGGATTTACAGAAAAAAAATAACATAAAAGGATATATAT